GTGGCTTCAGTTCCTCTTATGCTCTCTGTTACAAAGTTCAGCCACAATCACTAACATCAGATGTTTAGCTTCTCTCTGCCAAGCAAAGTGGTCAATGTAATTGACAGGCAATTCATTTTCTTTGATAGTTTATTTTAAAATCAATGATAGCTTTACCTGCATAATGTACAGGGATTTCTATCTTTGGCCCTATGACATAATGACCCTCCTCCAGACTATGAGCTGTAATTGTTGTCCACTGCCGGCATGAATGAATCACAAGGTAATCATTTTCTCGAAGGCCTTCAACAGCGTCTCCTGCAAAACAGATGTAATTTTATATCAGATTCACTGCATAAAGAAATACTACGAAACTCTGCATTACACAACTTAAAGCCATTTATTTCACATTATGTTTACTGCAGTGATTAAGTATTTTACCCAACCTAAATATCAAAAGTTTCTGATGACAGGTTACAATCTTATACATTTTCATTTAGCAATTTACTCTTACAACTGGAGAAAATAAAATTAAATATTAACATAGGAATACTAGAAAAATGTAATTCAGTTATTCAGCAGCAACTCTAGGGTTCTTATGAAGAAAGCTAGAATGAGCAGACTTTTTGGCCTCCATTTATTTTTATTTAGCTCACTTAATGAGAAGCACATGACATTTTAATTTTCAAAATACAGAGATTACCAGTGTGCTTACTCATACTTTACTGGGGGTTTTGCAGCAAGTGGTGAGAGAGAACAGAACAAGGGAAGACTTCCCCACCCCACATACAATGATGAGCCTTATTAAAGAACACACTGGAATTGTCTGTACAAAATCAGCATTAATTGTTATTGAGAATTATGGAGTTACACAAAACAAGGTATTTTGTTTCTAAACAAAAGGTCCATTTCATAATCCAGCTTTGCAATTATATGCTCAATCATAAAATACAAGAAAGCACAATTCTGCACATTGAAGAGCAGAAGCACTTATAAGACGGATCAAGTATCTCCTACTGTACTGCACACTACTGCAGTGGATCCATTTTCTGATCAAAAAGATAGCGGAACAAACACCTCTGAGGATAGACGAACGTGACATGGTGCAATCACACACAAATCTAAACTCAGATCTCAGTTTTATATACACATACAGATGTAGTTGGTAAGCATCACCTGTCATTTACATTAAATAATGTATTCAGATCAACACTTTTGTAGCACTAATGCTTGCTTTACATTCTATTTATTAAAGCATTTTAAACAGGCATCATAGACAGAGGTATAACAAGTTACACAAAATATACCGCATTGTTATACGTGTCCTAGATAAGAGGATACCAAATAATTTTCACAAGTTACAGACCGTAACAAGTCAGTTATTCCTATATACAAAGATATTTTGAGCTTACAACATTAACATCTGAAATTAGCATATCTCCTCCCACAGGTTCAGTCCATTCAGAGGATGACTTCCATTTTGTGCCCCAGACTGTTCTACAAGAATTTGCAGCCATATCAGTTATGGTGAACAGGACATTGGATATACTCCTGGGGGTGGAAAGATATTTCAGTTTAGTCATTCTACTCTCTTCCCACTCACTACCCAGTTGGCAATTCCTGTTATTTGAGGCTCAATCCTGCAGTCTTTATACCAAAGTTTTCTAATGCTGAAGTAAATGAAAATTCAACATGAGCAAGAAATGTAAAGCCAACCTTTGCTTACGTGGTTTTGCCAGATGAACTTCCTTTTTCTGTTGGCAGCTATCAAGCCCATCCCAAAACACTCCAAAGTTCATTTCCCCCATAATTGTCCAGCCTCTACAGCTCCTTTGGGTGTCCCTATCAAATTTCAGATGCACATGCCACTCAATATTCCTGGTCAGGACAGAAGTGTTTGGCATGTACAGCGCCTGTGAGAGTCATGTCACATGGCCAAACTGGCAGACAAGAAGGTGCAATACAATTTTCAAAGAGCAATAGACCTCATAATGTAAAAAAAAAAAAAAAAAAACCAACCACCAAAGCAGTCCATAGATAAGATATCATCATTACAATACCTCACACACTGGGTTCTGGGGCCATAGCATTTACATTACAGTGTATTTAACAGTCCATGTGCCATACTCTGTCTCCTACATAGCATGTTGCTTTTACCTATCTTCAATCGCATTCAGTCTTTCTACTTAATGCATAGGAAAGAGCCTTAAGGCAAATTCATTCTGTCTTTCTATTACAATGCCTTTAAAGTCATCAGAGACTGATATGTAACCAACACAGGCCAGGGGTAGTGGGGCAAAAATGCCAACAATTTTAGGTTTTATTTTCCCTTTTCCCCACCAATCATGGCCAAAAAACTTTCATAAAGCAAGTCCTCTTTCAACCTTGCTATCAAGTTTGGAAATGAATATTCCCCTCAACTACTACAGAAGCTCATATACCCTCTTCACTCCTGGAACTGGATCCTCCAAGTTCCTCATGCAGATAATTAGTGCAGAATTTCACCATCTCGAATTGTTTTTATTTTCCCTGCTGAGACCCTCCACAAAGGAGATACAGGCAAACAGGACTATGTAAAGTAACAGGCAACTTCTAATACTCCGTTTGCAATGGCCACCACCTGTTCTAATCCTGGGAGCATGAAATGCTGCATTCCGTCAAAGTACCATCCACCTACACGTTTTAAAGACATGTTCTGTGGGAATTTATAGATGTAAGACCAGAAGAGGACATTAGGTAATCTAGTTTGACCTAGTGTATAAAACAGGTCACAGAATTTAATCCACTTACTCCTGTATTAAACCCAATAACTTGCATTTGACTGAACAATATCTTCCAGGAAAACATCCAATCTTGAACACTTCAGGACATGGAGAATCCACTACTTCTCTTGGTAGTTTGCTCTGATTTGTCACGGTTAAAAATGTGTGCCTCATTTCTAATTTAAATTTGTCTGGCTTCAATTTACAGTTCCTGTTATGTCCTTCTCCACTAGATTAAATAGTCCTTTAGCACCTGCTACTTTATCCATGTGAAGATACAATTCTAGTATATCCTCACCATTTGTAGTCTAGAGAGAAAAGGTGGCTTCAACATAAGGATTGGTATTCAAAACTGAATTCTTGATATTCCAATGAATGGATGGAGTCTGTTTAGTTAATGTAATTTCTTCTACTTTCATTACAACACCCACTCCTGCAGCATGGTTGTTTCTGAGCAAGTGAGGGGGGTGAGAGGGAGTCTGGGGAGGAAATGGCAAACTTGCTTCACTGTAGGGGAATGACCTCCAGTCCCACCATGTTTTTGAAGTAAGGTCAGGTAATTGGCAGAAGAACCTCATGTGCACGTGCACACACACAGCCTTTCTATAATCTCCCCCCTCTGGTAGCTTGTGATCAGAGTAGGCAAGATAACTGCTAATATACAAAACTTCTCTTCAAATATTTCGGTCACACATAGCAAATTAGAATTGGTGTGTTTGAAAAAGAGAAGATTTTACAGGAAGACATCCAATAACAGATTCAGTTTCTGGTTAAGGCAGACTTACAGTTCATATGGCTAAATTCATGCTTTTTATAGTAATTGGCAACAAGCAATTAATTTTGTCCTACAGTAAATATAATGATCATGCCCATATGGAATTAACTGGCTACAGTGCATGACGTTTAAAGGCAGTACAAAGCATACCTTGCACACCTTTTTCTGTCACTGAGAGTTCAAAGTTATAATTTCAAAACAATACACAAATAAAAAGCTTGTGTGTAATGATCAGGAATTTCAGAGGTCATCCTTGTACAGTATGAAAAAAGTTATACTCAGCAAAGGACACAGACAAGAATTGTTTCCTTTATGGTTTTCATGAAGTGATTTGTCAATGTTTACTGTATTAATTAAAACTGGGTGGGGACTAGGAGTGTAGAGTATCAGAGGGATAGCCGTGTTAGTCTGTATCCACAAAAACAATGAGGAGTCTGGTGGCACCTTAAAGACTAATAGATTTATTTGGGCAAAAGCTTTCGTGGGTAAAAAACCCCCTTCTTCAGATACATGGAGTTAAAGTTACAGATTCAGGCATAAATATACTGACACACGAAGAGAAGGGAGTTACCTTACAAGTGGAGAACCAGCGTTGACAAGGCCAATTCTGTCAGGGTGGATGTGGTCCACTCCCAATAATTGATGAGGAGGGGTCAATACCAAGAGAGGGAAAATTGCTTTTGTAGTGAGCCAACCACTCCCAAATTAATGGTGTTAAGTTTGCAAATGAATTGTAGCTCCGCAGCTTCTCTTTGAAGTCTGTTTTTGAAGTTTTTTTTGTTGAAGGATGGCTACTTTTAAATCTGTTATTGAATGTCCAGGGAGACTGAAGTGTTTTCCTACTGGCTTTTGTATGTTCCCATTCCTGATGTCTGATTTGTGTCAATTTATTCTTTTACATAGAGTCTGTCCGGTTTGGCCCACGTACATGGCAGAGGGGAGTGCTGGCACATATCACATTAGTAGATCTGCAAGTGAGTGAACCCCTGATGCTGTGGTTGGGTCCTCTGATAGTGTCGCTAGAGTAGATACGGGGACAGAGTAGGCAACGGGGTTTGTTACTGGGATTGGTTCCTGGGTTAGTGTTTCTATGGTGTGGTGTGTAGTTGCTGGTGAGTATTTGCTTCAGGTTGGGGGGCTGTCTATAAGCAAGGACCGGCCTGCCTCCCAAGGTCTGAGAGAGTGAGGGATCATTTTCCAGGAAAGAAACTACACCATCTGCTCAAGAAACGCCCTGCTATAGCACAGGAACAAATCTACACAGACATATTCCTAGCGCCCCGACCAGGGGTATTCTATCTGCTACCCAAGATCCATAAACCTGGAAATTTCTCACAATCACATCAGCTTTTGTTAAGAGAGAAAAGATCCACTAGGATCCAGTAGGATCTCACACCAAGATCAGGTTTTAAGTTTGAGTGCAATTGTTCAGAATTGAATGAGAGCACCGTGGTTGGTCATATGCTGGAACTGAAAGAAGTGAGAGTTTGGGTATTAGGATGTTTCAGTGGCCAGTCATGTCATTGGACGTTGGTGTGGATGTGCTCATTACTTGAACTGAATTTCCTCGATTTTAAGTGATTGTGTTAGGAAATGGACTCCAACAATTTTAACTGTAAACTAAAGCTTTTGGGGTAGAATATATTCAGTATGAACTCCATTCTTTCATATTAAGGATTTGGGGGTCAGTGGGCAGATGTGTGTTTTTGTAGAGTTATATGGCTTCATGCATCCTACTGAAAAGGCAAACAGTGAAAATATTTTACAGGAATGCACTATTT